CTTTGCAAATCACTGTTCTATCAAATTTTTGGCAGCATTGTGGTTAATGAGACTTGAAGTGCAGGCCTAAGTCTACTTTGGACAAAAGTGCAGGCTCAAAATACTTCTGTATTTTTGAAAAGCCATGAAGGAGATCTGAGTCTTTGCTACATTTCATGAATTCTTACAAGTAAAATTCTTCACATTCGTTACTAAGGCAGTGCCTTTGTTTCACAATGACTGACACCAGGCTGTACCCATGATTCCTGACCTTCTGGAATGGTAATATAGAAATTATTGCTTCCTGCTGCGGCATTTATGGTTTTTCTCAGCTCATAATTCTCTATGGACTTTAGTAAATATTTCCTTTGGCTCATATATTAGATTAGTTGACACATTATTTTTATAACCATTGTCTTTAAAAGGAGGCTTGCTAGCCAGGTGCTGTTCTACAGACGGTGCAGTTCTTATGCGTGTCAGAGGATAGAATCTGTAAAGCGTGCCTCCTGACTGCCTCTTATAGTTAGGTAATCCTCAACAGCTACAATTGTGTTATTTTTAGCATTAACAAATTGAGAAGATGTTCACAGGGAAAGGTCACCGAAAAGTTAAGCACTGTGTGAGGTTCATTTCCAACAACAACACGGGCCTTGTTTAATATGCTTCATAATGTGATAGAAGAAATTTTTATCCTTCAGAGCTTTTCATTTCTTTCTTAGTTAAACATTCATGCTCGGTCTATCTTTTGGCAACATATGATTTGAATTGTCAATTTAGTGTTCTGGCATGTGTGGCTATTTTCACATTCCTCTTGAGGGATTTGGCAAGAAGATTCCCCTCTACTTTGTACTTTCCCTTTTTTTCCCTCCCACCCTGTCTATTAATAATAAACAAAGGGTAAGAAGACAGGCATCAACAGGAACAAATGGATGAATCCCTTTAAAAGTGCCAAAGTAGCCTGGCACGTGTGAAGGACCTGCTCTGGTTGATTATGCAATAAAGATTACTTTGAGAGCCATCTGCATAATTGTACCTTACTCCTAATAAAAGACAGCCACTTTGGTGCAGTGTTTAGGTTGCAAACTGGAATTCTGTGAATTCTAGTTCCTCCCTCCCCCCCCTTAGGCACAAAGCCAACTGGGTGACCTTGGGCAAATCACTGACTCTCTCTTAGCCCTAGGAAGGAGGTAAGGGCAATCCATTTCCAAAAACCAACAGAGTCAACACTCTGTCAGCTTACCAGAAGAACACAGCTCCAATTAAATACTCAGAGACAATCATTTTCTCAAAGTTCCCTTTTATTAGAGTAAGTATACAGGCACATCTGGGAAAACCCGAATATGAGAGTTCCAAATTTTTCTTCAGTAAATCAAAAGTCCAAACCCAGCCCCTGCACCCATCAGTCCATCACATGGTCCAATCACAATCTGACCCATCTCAAGACATTGCCTCTCCTCCAGGTGCAGGAATACCATGACCTAGACCGAAAAGAAGAATGCTATTATGTCTAACTATATTCCCTCTACTAAATCCCCCTCCTAATTTCCAAAGCACAAAAATGTGGCAGCGTGGAAGCTTCCGGTGTTAATATGGCTTCCAAAGCTGACACACTGATTCAAAGGCACAAAACAAAGCGTAATAAACTAATGTATGATTATACAATAAAATATGATGAACTATCTCAAGATTGATGTCAGCATTTTCTTAATTTTTATGATCTAGCCGTCAATCCTAAAATGTTCAAAGATAAGACTATTACTCAGCTTTTCTCAGATGCTAGAAAGATAGAGTTAAAACTGAGAAGCCATGTTATATAACTATAATTGAGGTTTTCAGATTTAAAACTTTGGTAATCAGTCTTCTTAATTTCTCTTTGGTATCTTGCAGATTCCATGAGGAAGTGTAGCTAGTTTGTGCACATGCGCGCGCGCACACACACACACAAGCACACACACACACACACACACACTGAGTGAAGTAAGGGAATTGATGTTTTGTGACAAAACACTGACTAAATTCAGTTGTAAAGAAGATCCAAGATATTTAACAATAATATTTGCAGCAGAAATCAAAATTGGCTAATTCGTATCCTCTTTCCAAGAAAAACTGTTTGGAGTAAGAAAGTAATGTGGTACTGTTGGCAGACAGCTTTTAATATATCTTTCAATTCTTCATTTCAAATTGCTTCTCCAAATTACATTTTTCTTTGCTGGTTTCCATACACAGCTTGAGGTTTGGAAACTAATAGCAGAAAGGAAATTTTGTGAATGACTTGAAATTGAGTAACAGTAGGCAGGAAAAGGGTTAAGTCCAGTTCAGGAAAAGCATCTCTAAATTGCTTTTCTAAAAACAGTAATTAGATCTACAGATCTGTAAAGCATCTATTTCTCATAGATCTGAATTTTGTATTGCTGTTCTAGTATAGATAATTTTCAGTAAATCCTCAGTTATATGAGTGTGTAGCATGTCAGTTTCTTTTGCCTGTTGACTGAAGTTGAAGATGGTGATTTGTAAAGGGGGGAAAACATTGCTGCCAGAGGGTTCACAGGATATCGTATTATATTATATTGAACCTGGTTCAAAACTTTGATTCTTGTCTCTGACATTGTCTCAGATTTCCTCAATGGCTACTGATACATAAAAGAATATGTTCAACCCCCTTCAAAAGTTAGCTACTAGGAGGGAAATTAGGTCCAGGGTCATTTGATCTTTCCAATGTTAGGCAAATGCTGGACGTACCACAGTTTAATGCACCTTATCTTTTGCTTACATTTTGAATTCCATTAGAGAATCAGCTTGATTTTATTTACTTTTTAACGTAAGCACCAGCCTTGCACAAAGTAATTTATTGCCATGGTAGTTATGAAGTGTAGGCTTCACTGTAGGACAAGAAGAGACAGGAGTCTTTTAAGGTGGGGAATAAAATGTTTTGGCAACCTGGCCCAGGTCTAGGAATTGCTTTCTGCACTCCATCTATCCTGTGAAACAGAATTTCGGTTTGCGGAAAAGGGGGCCTTATGAGTCTAGTGCTATTCTAAGGATCTAAGAAGGCTGGTTAAGCTTACATTTAATTGCAAGTTAAATAAAGAAGTAGCCAAGAGTCTTTAAATCAAATTTCATGTGTCTGCCTGTTTCGTGATGGCAGCCACATAGGCTTCAATCAATCAATTCCCAGCTTGCATATATTGCTGTGTGCAATGTACATCTTTGTAGATACGGAAAAATGCTGGGGAGATAAGCATGATTAAAGTTAATTAGTAAGTTCATATAGTTGTTACCATAAATGGAAACAGATGAAACTTGACATAAAAGTAATAGCAACAAAAGGGATCAAGAAAGAGGAGAATTAGAAAAACATGTCTGAGATTAAATATAGGATTTACATGTTGTTTATTTAGATCATTTCTGGTCTCTTCTTAAAAGCCATACATTTAACTTAATTTCATTTTTAGACATGATAGATCACCCAATTTACATCAAAGGAGACTCTAGCTTTGACTTTTCATTATTCATGTTTGTTTGTTTGTTTGTTTTATCAGCTTAGCGGCTACTCGGGTATTCTAACTTATAGTGCTTCCTACATGTATTTGTCTATTTTTTTGATAAACAGGATATGATTATGAAATTATTCATCCTGTATATTATATTTATTACTGTGAAAATAATGAGTTGTTTTGAAGCATTTCATCTTAAAAACTATCATTTTATTAGAAACCTCAACAATCCTATTGGTTTTTAGTAAAAAATAGACATTATAGAGTACTGATAGGAAGAAGGAAGGTGAAATGTAGGGTTGAGATTGCCTTGAGAAAGAAAAAATTGACAANTTTGTCAATGATTGGATTTCTATTTCTGACTTTCCATAGAGTTTCAAATCATCCATATATAGTAAATGCGAAAAATTTTCAGCTTCTTTGGCTGTTTGGTAGCCTAATTTTATTTTTTTTAAGATTACTGATAGTGGGATCATTGCGATGATGAAGAGAAGAGGTGAAAGTGAATCACCCTGGAAAATTCGTCGCTTGATATTAACTTAAAACTGTATGACTCTTAAAACTGTATGCTTTTTAAATATATTCTGCAGGACTTTATTATTATTATTATTATTATTATTATTATTATTATTATTATTATTATTATTATTATTTGTTTTAAATTTTCACACTTGGCTTATTTGCAGGTGGCAAATTTTTCATGGTGTTTTGGTTTGGCTTGTCCTCAAGTATATATACATACTTTAAAAACAAGTATTACAGCTAGTGCCATACAATACATGGATAAACCAATATATTTTTGGAATTGCATTTTGGAGCCTAAAATTCTTAGCTTATCCATGAGTATATCAGTACATACTATAGTCAAGGGTCCCCAGCCCCTAGGCCACAATCTGCTACCGGGTCATGGCCTATTTGGAACCAGGCCACATGAGAGGTGGGCGGGCACACAGCTCAACTTGCTGTTGGGCTGCATGCACTGCTCAGGTGGCCCAGTTCCCCTCTCCCCCCCACCGGGCCTCCAAGCTGCAAAGATTGGGGGCTGCTGCACTAAGTTATAGTAGAAAATAATGAAGACCTTTTCTTAGATAATGAAATATAAACCACTTTAGGATCAAATCTTGACTCCAAGATATTGCCATACTTGCTCAGAGCTATGCAGGAATCAAGATTCATATTTGAATACATTAGGATTAATGTAAAGTTATTTAGGGGCTCTTTAGTATTAGATTTGCTATAGAAGCCCAACCAGGATCCCAGATGAGGTTAGAGTGAATCAGAGATGTTTAATATCAAATAAAGAACTTTGTGTCTATCCAAATCCCTGCTTACATATCTAACCTCCTCAGACTGAAAATCTATTTGTTAAATTTTACTTGCTGCCCACTTTGTTGTCCTATTTTATTTGATGTAGAATTGTGTAGTTATATCCTCTTGTTTTACACTTTTCAGATTATAAAAAATGGACTTGTAAATCTCTGTATGAAAACAGCTTTTAAAATACCTGTTGTTCATCATTTCAATCAGCTGTAGGTATCCAGATGAAACTGGAGTTTTTCCAAAGGAAATTCTGGACTGCTAGTAGACAGGTATGTTATTATTGAGTATTTAAAAAACTTGAGTCACTGGCTAGCAATAAAGCTGGAGAGACTCAGGAAAGCATCTGACAAAATCTGTTATTTCTGCAAGTTAAATACAACTGACAGAAAATATTTTGGTAAATAAATTCCATCATGTGGTCACCATCGTCAGTTAAATATGAAACCCGGCTTAAATAGTCTAATGAGCCAAAAAAAATTTTTTTTGAGTTTAATATAAGTGCCAAGAGAAATCACTCAAAATGTGGGGCACAAGTCACCAAATGGGGATAACTCAAATTTATTTCTCATTTCCAACTGTTCTTCCAAATGTCTGAAGACATTTTTGGATCAGAGAGATATTTATTGCATTCAAACATAGTGCACTTTTGTGTTGACTCGGTGTCTTATTTTGCAACAGTAAATTAATTGTTCCATGTTACCATAACAGATTTATGAACACAAAAAATCAAATATTTATTTATTTTATTGCACCCCATATTATACCTAAAAGTTATAGATTTCTCTGCATCCAGAAAACGAAAATTCTAAACTTGTTTCAAAACTATCAATCCTTGTACAGTGCACGTCTCTTGATGGCCGCTGTTCTATAAGCTGTGATGATGAGGTAAGCAAGGTATTTCATACATGCACTGCCAATTTTTCTTAGCAATGAAACAACAGACAATTATGCAAAGCATATATTCATACTAACACGAAACAAACAAGTGTGTGTTTAGAAAAGATATTCTATCTCCTGGGTAGACTGATGCCTGGCTGTGAAACTGAGATGTAATTTTAGAAGATGACATGGAGAATTAGCTTTGAATATTTTCCTTGTTCAAAACTAAGGTCTTATTTACCAAGAATGTAGTAGTAAATATGGACTATACTATATCATGCCTGAATGTTTCCAAAAGGAAAATATTTAGTGTAAAAAAAATCATTGACATTTGAAAAATAATCTATTCCTGTCTTCTCCCTGACGTGATATTTTTATGGACTGTGTGTATATGTATTTGATGGCAAAATATTTAACTACGCCACCACAATTTAACTAAAACCTGAAGTGGCATAGTTCAGGAAATTATTTACTGTTTAGTCTTGTTAAATGACTAACCTGCCCTTTAATGTGGCAGCCAATCTTTTCAATGAGTAGCATTTTTAATATAAAGTCTGAATGTTGGGGAAAAAATGTTTGAGAGGATGCTCTTATTCTGATTTTTCAGATGTATACAAGTTTTTCTAATGAATATTCAGTTCATTGCCCTTATGTCTTACCTTTTGAAAAAAACTTTGATATGTCAGTATAAATTTAAAATGCAGCAATTAAAAGTAAATGTGAAAAATTATGAATTTCAGTATCAGTTTTCATTTCTTGGTTAGAAAAATGTAGAAATACAAGGCATTTATTGATGAAGTTAGATCTTGGGCTCTTTTCAGAAACCTCTTATATATCTATTCTAGTATATACTGGTATCTAAAGCGTTTAATCCCATAAATGTGCTTCTCTGTGTACAGTTCTCCTTTCTTGAATGGTCACTTCATGAAACAAGTGTATAAACCCTATAATATCCATGTTTGGCTATTGCAGTTTGCCAGACATTTCTCCAGTTCTCTTTTTCCAAGATCATGAATAGAATAGAATAGAATAGAATAGAATAGAATAGAATAGAATAGAATAGAATAGAATAATAGAGTTGGAAGGGACCTTGGAGTCTTCTAGTCCAACCATCTGCTTAGGTAAGAAACCCTGTATCATTTTAGACAAAAGATTGTCCAATCTCTTATTAAAGCAGTCACTGATTAACTGTCAGGAAATTTCTCCTTAGTTCTAGGTTGCTTCTCTCCTTGATTAGTTTCCATCAATTGCTTCTTGTCCTACCCTCAGGTGCTTTGGAGAATAGCTTGAGTCCCTCTTCTTCGTGGCAGCCCCTGAGATATTGGAACACTGCTATTATGTCACTTGAATCTCAGTGGAGTTTCATTCAGTCACTACACTATAGATTAATTTTTAAAACCAAAACATACACATNTTGGCTCCCTCTCTCTGGAACCTCATTCCCCTACATATTAGGAAAGGCCCCCATTCTAATACTCTTCTGGAAGGCGCTGAAGTCCTGGTTCTGCCAGCGGGTCTGGAAAACCCAGAGCGGGGTGGATCCCATTAAATGGCTTGTGTGATCTACTGTCACAAGGTTGGGAGGTGTGGGTGATTTTGTTATATTGTACTATATTAATTTATTTGATTCTTTTTGTTAGTTTTTATTCTTTTAAATATGGTTTTATATTCTGTAAGCCGCCTTGAGTCAGCCTGGGAAAATAGGCGGCAATATTAATTAAATAAAATAAATGTGCATTTATCTTCTTAACTACTCTCTGATTCCCTTATGAGGAAATACATTGAAGAGAGCATTCGGGGTTGTTGTTTTTTAACCTTCTGTATTGCAGACCAATTTCGAGCTTATTTTCAGATAAATGTTATACGTGGACTTTATAGTAATGGGATCTAATTACTCAAGTAAACTTCATTTAATGGGCCTTAATGCAATGCTGTCTGGATACCATGAATAATAATCCTATTTTATTTTCTATCAATAGTGTACCTTAAGTGTATTTGATGCAAAATTATGTAAATGGCTTCTTTATCATTTGAATAAAGCTGTAGTTATAGATACCCTACTCCCTTGTTTAGTAGATCACTAGAATAATAAATACCTCTGTGTAAGAGAATAGCACCTCTGTGTAATTCTGAGAGGGGACAGAATTAATTGCATCCTCAGTTTAGAATTGTTGTATCCCTACAAATGGTCCAACTCCAATCTCTATTTAATTACCTGATCGGTCAACAATTTAGTGTTGAATTTTAATCAGATTCTTGTTTATCAGCTTGAATAAATCCTCTATGATGCAATTTAGTGGATGGCCGTGATTCTTTGAATCTGACACTATGTCCCACAACTGATCCAGTAACTTGACAGGTCACTGTACCAGGTTTCTAAACGGCAGAAAGGCAGCTTAATTGTTGTAAAATATCTTTTGTAGCTCTCTATTTTGATGGGTCATTTTAACCTTTGTTCTAAGAAGCAGTATGATGAGGTGATTGTAATATTAGTTAGGAATGGAGGGAATCAGTTCACCCCCAGCCCTGGAAACTGACAAGGTGACTTTGGGTCAACCACTTGCAGCTTAACCTACCTCACAGGATTGTTATCATAGGGAATAAAATACCTGGAGAATCCCCTCTAAGTGTTTCCAGTTCATGGAGGAAAGGCAGGAATACAAACTTTTAAATCATTATTCTTTGAGATTTCAGAGTGTTGTGGAGTGTTTACTTCAGATGCTGACTTGAAATATAACCTAGTAATAGAGTTGGAGGGGACCTTGGGGGTCTTCTAGTCCAACCACCTGCTCAAGCAGGAGACACTGTACAATTCCAGACAAGTGACTGTCCACAGTCTCTTCTTAAAAGCCTCCAGTAATGGGGCACCTACAATTTCTCAAGGCAACCCCTTTCCACTGGTTAATTTTAGACAGAATTATTTATTTAGTATGTTTCGACACGCAAGGAATTTGTCAGTGCATCAGAACAACTAGACACAAGGACAGTTTTTTCCCGAATGCCATCACTCTGCTTAAAAAATAATTCCCACAACACTGTCAATAATTTACTAAGAATGTATTACTATTATTCTTTTCCTCCTTCCTAGTCTCTATTTCTTGCCATTTATGACTATAACCATGTTGCTTGTATCTTTCAATTTATATTGTTTTTATTTGTTTCCTAGTACAATTTGACAGCTTATAAGTAACTTTGACTATCACTAAGTATTGTGTCTTTTTATTCTTGATGAATGTATTTTGTTCTCCTTATGTACACTGAGAGCATATGTACCAAAGACAAATTCCTTGGGTGTCCAATCACACTTAGCCAATAAAGAATTCTATTCTATTTTATAATATGGTGACCAAAACTGGATCCAGTATTCTAAGTGTCGTCTTACTAAGGCTTTATAAAGTGGTACTAATACCACGTAATCTTGATTATATCCCACTGTTAATGCAACCTAGGATTGTGTTGGCTTTTTTGTATGTTGTTGCCCACTGCTGGCTCATAATTTAAGTGATTGTCCACTAAAACTTCAAGATCCTTCTCATAGTTACTGTTATTGAACAAAGTTTCACCTAATCTGTGCCTGCACATTTAATTTTAAGTACGTACAAGTAAAACTGTATTTTTCTCTTCATTGGTTTTCATTTTGTTAGATAGTGTCCAGTGTTGAAGTTTGTCAAGAATATATTTGATTAGTCCATAGAATATGATATCACCTAAACATTTACTGTAGAGAACAAAAAGTCACACTAATTCAAGTAGCTAAACTGTGTATATAAGAATTGAAAGAAAATTAGTACTACATCCCAGCATGGCTACCTGAATTTCTTCATTGACCCCATTAAATTCATGTGGGAGAACACCCCCCCCTACTTTCTATCATCAAAGTATCATGTGAGATGTTTATTTGATCATTCTATTGTTTTGACTTCACAGTCTCAGTTTTACATCCCAAATACTAGAGTTAAGTTGATGGTATCTGTGTCCAATGTGCCAAAAGTGTAAGATATCATAGTGGTTTGCACACCTGGGAAAACAGAGATAAATCTAGTCATGCTATTTTAAAGAAGGAAAATTCCCACTGAAAATGGCAGGTGTTCTGCCTGAATAATAGTAAGCTGGAACAGATCAAAAGACTCTACCTGATATTTGATTTCCTACATAATCCATTTAAAACAGCATCAGCCAATCATTAAAGTAAAAATGACACCAATAAAAGTAAATCAACCCTTCTCACTTTCCCCCATTCTCATGAAGTAACAGTTTTGCACAGCCCAATCCAGGATTTTAACTTTTTTTTTCCAGTGGTAAATATTACATAAACTGAGATAGCCTGAGCAAGTGACAATTCCTACTGAATCTTAGCTTAGCATCTAAGAAGGATCAGGCTTAGTTAGTATTTGGATGGGAGACTGTTCGGCATTACTAGAACTCAGAAGGATCTGCAATCGAGGTGACCAAGGGGCAGAATGGCTGATATGAATGTGTAAAGGATGGCCTCTCCCTTTATATGTTTCTGCAATATCTGTGCTAGCAAAGCAAGGCAAGCATACCATAAGCAAGATAAGAGTTTTAAAAATTTGAAGAGAACAAACGGCTTCCACCTTTCTGCAGAGAAAAAACATGGCTGTGTCCATAAAATAACCAAGAGTCCAGCATAAAGGGGATGCTTCTAATAAAGTAGTTAGAAATGTAATTAAAATGCTTTTGTATTTTTATTCCTTAGGCCAATTATACTTCAGTCATTGTTCTTAATGTATATACTTGCAGGTAATCACAGCTGGGAATAAGCTGACTCTCAAATTTTAACCAAAACACCATGAAAAACCTGTCCCCTACGGATAAGCTAACTCTTAAAACTGTATGCTTTTTAAATATATTCTGCAGGACTTTATTATTATACAATTGTATCACAGCGGCCAGTTGTTTCGCCGGATTTGGCATTGGTTACTAGTCGGGCCCCACCCAGGGGCCTAGGACGTTGTAACGTATTTTCGTAATATGCATGCAGATCC